TTTGATGTCCTAATAAGTTTTTTTTCCTTGCTTGATGACTCTAATTGGGACTAGCAACTCCACTGTTAAGTAAAACAGTCACTAAGAGAGAAATCACATGAGCGCCAGTAAGAGTAACAGGAAAGAGACAGCAGTAGTTTCACATTTATCACTTTTAATTGCCTCCTAACCAATTCCCTCCCTTTGGAGTGATTATGTCTGCTTACTGTCTTCTACACATCAAAAACAATGCTGTGGAATACTGTATATATACAGGCTGTGCAATTTCAAAGGATCTCTGGAAAGTTCAGTAAGGTAAACCTGGTACTTGTCTACAACAGCTTAAAGTAGCCAAGCTTTGTTCTCCCATATTTCTCATGATATGTCACTCTCACTTCCACATAGCTGAGCTGTACATAAGAAGCTATTTCATTTATTTTAATCAACATTCATTATTTGCAACAGATAGCATAGTACTCATACTTTTTCATCAGTATTTGCATCTCAAAATTTCCTCATCTACTTTCCCATCTTTAGTAATCGCATAGCAAAGTTCACAAATTAACCTACTTATTCATTTGGCAACCATTTACTCTGCAATTCCTGTTAGAGTATCTTAGTGTTCAAAACTTTAATGTTCAAATCCATCTTGATGCATCATACAACCTAGCTAACATTTGCTGAAAATCATTAGGGTCAACACACTTTCATCAACATACAAAAGTATGCACATAGGGGCAAAAAAGTATTTAGTCAGCCACCAATTATGCACGTTTTCCCACTTAAAAAGATGAGAGGCCTGTAATTGACATCATAAGTAGACCTCAACTATGAGAGACAAAATGAGAAAACAAATCCAGACAATCACATTGTCTGATTTGGAAAGAATTTTTTTGAAAATTATGGTGGAAAATAAGTATTTGGTCAATATCAAAAGTTCATCTCAATACTTTGTTATATATCCTTTGTTGGCAATGACAGAGGTCAAACGTTTTCTGTAAGTCTCACAAGGTTGGCACACACTGTTGCTGGTATGTTGGCCCATTCCTCCATGCAGATCTCCTCTAGAGCAGTGATGTTTTGGGGCTGTCGCTGGGCAACACGGACTTTCAACTCCCTCCAAAGGTTTTCTATGGGGTTGAGATCTGGAGACTGGCTAGGCCACTCCAGGACCTTGAAATGCTTCTTACGAAGCCACTCCTTCGTTGCCCGGGCGGTGTGTTTGGGATCATTGTCATGCTGAAAGACCCAGCCAAGTTTCATCTTCAATGCCCTTGCTGATGGAAGGAGGTTTGCACTCAAAATCTCACGATACACGGCCCCATTCATTCTTTCCTGTACACGGATCAGTCATCCTGGTCCCTTTGCAGAGAAACAGCCCCAAAGCATGATGTTGCCACCCCCATGCTTCACAGTAGGTATGGTGTTCTTTGGATGCAACTCAGCATTCTCTCTCCTCCAAACACAACGAGTTGTGTTTCTACCAAACAGTTCTACTTTGGTTTCATCTGACCATATGACATTCTCCCAATCCTCTTCTGGGTCATCCAAATGCTCTCTAGCAAACTTCAGACGGACCCGGATATTTCATTTCATTTATTATATTTATATGCTGCCCTTTTACCCCGAAGGGGACTCAGGGCGGCTGACAAATCAAATCTGGGAAGGGGGGGTGGGGGTACAGACAAAAAAAACTAAAAAAAAACAAACATGACAATACATAATTTAAAACACACAACAGTCATACCATTCGAGACGGGGGCATGTACTGGCTTAAGCAGGGGGACACATCTGGCACTGCAGGATCTGAGTTCCTGGCGGCATAATGTGTTACTGATGGTAGCCTTTGTTACATTGGTCCCAGCTCTCTGCAGGTCATTCACTAGGTCCCCCCGTGTGGTTCTGGGATTTTTCCTCACCGTTCTTGTGATCATTTTGACCCCACGGGGTGAGATCTTGCATGGAGCCCCAGATCGAGGGAGATTATCTGTGGTCTTGTATGTCTTCCCTTTTCTAATTATTGCTCCCACAGTTGATTTCTTCACACCAAGCTGCTTGCCTATTGCGGATTCAGTCTTCCCAGCCTGGCGCAGGTCTACAATTTTATTTCTGGTGTCCTTTGACAGCTCTTTGGTCTTCACCATAGTGGAGTTTGGAGTGTGACTGTTTGAGGTTGTGGACAGGTGTCTTTTATACTGCTTACAAGTTCAAACAGGTGCCATTAATACAGGTAATGAGTGGAGGACAGAGGAGCTTCTTAAAGAAGAAGTTACAGGTCTGTGAGAGCCAGAAATCTTGCTTGTTTGTAGGTGACGAAATACTTATTTTCCACTATAATTTGCAAAAAAATTCTTTCCAAATCAGACAATGTGATTGTCTGGATTTGTTTTCTCATTTTGTCTCTCATAGTTGAGGTCTGCTTATGATGTCAATTACAGGCCTCTCTCATGTTTTTAAGTGGGAGAACTTGCACAATTGATGGCTGACTAAATACTTTTTTGCCCCACTGTATATCCATATCCCTAGCAACATACAAAATTTGGGCTCAATTGACAACTACCTGTATTCTTCTATTTGCATTTTCTCACCTGCAGCTTTTTTACATCATTTTTCCACTAAAAATATTTTTCATACTTCACATTACCATAATTTCACCCATTTCTGTGGTATTCCATAACATAACTCATTTTACTTTGTTCAATATAGATTCCAAACTTTCTACTTTTTGTTCATTCCAATAATTTTTCATACATATTCCTACTGTCAATCTCATTTCATTCTACTCTTCATTTCATTTTTCTTCTTCACTTTCATTTTCCCCCAAGATCTATTACTAAATAATAATCTGTTCCACATTTAGAAACACTCACCCTTGTATATTTCAGAAATTACTTGCTTAACAAACTCAAGTGGAATCAGCAACTCAATTATTAACTAATATGGTTGTTAAGTGAAACAACACATGACCGTGACTTGCAATTTTACAGCTGGATTCTCCACTGACTCCATTGATCCTCTGCTTGTTGGAAGCTGGCTGTAAAGTACGCAAATACGGATCATGTGACCATGGGACACTGCAATGGCTGAAAATGTGAGGACGGTCCTAAATTTATTTTTTCAGAATTGTTATAATTAGAAATAGTTGCTAAAGAGGGCAGTTGTTAAAGGACAACTACATATATTCTAATATTTCATCATAAAAAAATCACATTAGTTTTAGAATTATTCCATTGCCACGTATAATATGAATAAGGCAGAGTTTAAAACAGACATTTTTCCAAAACAGATCCTCAGTAAACTATCACCATGTCATTCATGCTTAGGTCTCTAAATAGTCCAGACATTTTCTGTATTCTCTCATCTGGTTCAAACCCATCTATTCAAGTTACCTAACGTGTTTTTTCAATATTCCATACCAATTCATGCTTTCAGACATGTTGGTCCTTTCATCCTTAATCAAACCTGAATCTTCACTTCCTTATGTATATTAATGGTATCAGACAGAAATGGTAGATTAGGTTTTAGGAAATCAATCTGTCTTCACAGTATACAGACAGTCCTCAATTTATGACCACAATTGAGTCCAGAATTTCTATTGCTAAGTGAAACATTTTTGCCCCATTTTATGACTTTTCTTGCCACAGTTGTTAAATGAATCACTACAGTTATTAAGTTAGTAACGGGTATTATAAGTGAATCTGTCTTCCCCATTGATTTAGCTTGTCAGAGAATTGCAAAAGGGGATCACATGATGTTGGAACACTGCAATTGTCAACAATATGAGTCAGTTGCCAAGCATTTGAATTTTGATGATGTCACCATGGGGGATGCTGCAATGGTCATGTGAAAAATGTTATGTCACTTTTTTCAGAGACATTGTAACTTTGAATGGTTACTAAACAAACTGTTGTAAGTTGTAAACTCATAATAGATTTGAGAAGTGACTGCTGTACAATGTTTATTTAATTTTAATTTTCATTGGCCTGTGAGTATAGGCTGTCACATGTCTATCTCACATACACAATTATTGGGCAAGTTGTATTTTTGAGGTTTAGTTTTATTATTGAACAACTACAGTACTCTCAGTCAATCCAAAATGTTAATAAACATCAAGCTTGAATACTTAAGAAAGTAAAAGTGAGGTTTTGGTTTTCTTAGGGGAATATCTATATGTGTGCACAATTATTGGGCAACCATTAGTGTGCAGAATTATTAAGCAACTAAATGAAAAATGAAAATGTTCCCATCTCACTCATTTATTTTCATCTGTTAAAGTGAGAATAATAAACAAACAACTCAAAATTTACAAATAAACATTTCTGACATTAAAAAAAAACCAGTGACCAATACAGCTGCTCTTCAATAACAGTCATAAGCCTTCCATTCATGGAATCTGTCAGTTTTTTGATCTGTTAACGATCAACTTTTTGTGCAGCAGCAACCACAGCCTCCCAGACATTGTCCAGAGAGGTGTATTTATTTATTTCACTGTAAATCCCCCATTTAAGAAGAGCCCACAATTTCTCAAGAGGGTTTAGGTCAGGTGGGGAAGAGGTCCATGTCATTATTCTTTCATCTTTAAGGCTGTTACTGGCTAGCCACACGGTGGAGTATTTCAATGCATGTGATAGTATTGTCCTGCATAAAAATCAGGGTCTTCTTGAAAGATGCAGACTTTTTCCTGTACCATTGCTTGAAGTAAGTGTCTTCTAAAATGTGGCAGTGGGTTTGGGAATTGATTGTGAGTCCATCTCCAACCCAAAAAGTCCAACTAGCTTATCTTTAAATACCAGCCCATACCAGTACTCCACCTCCACCTTGCTGGCATCTGAGTCGAAGTGAAGCTCAGTACCCCATTACTGATCCAGCCACAGCCAGCAATCTGGTCCGTCAAGAGTCACTCTCATCTCACCAGTTCATGAAACCTTTGAAAAATCTGCTTTCAGATATTTTGTGGCCCAGACTTGCAGTTTCTACTTATGTGTCTTGTTCAGTGATGGTCAGGTTTCAGCCTTCCTTACCTTGGCCATGTCTCTGAGCACTGAACACCATGTACTTCTGAGCACTCCAGGCAGATTGCAGTTCTGGAACATGACAGCATTGGAGAATAATGGGTTCCTGGTAGCTTCACGTTTGATTCTTCTGAAATATTTAACAGTTCATTTGTGTCTTTTTTTTCTCAACACATTTCTTGTGACCCTGTTGACTATTTGCAACAAAATATTTAATGGTTCGGTGATCACACCCCAATATCTTAGCAATTTCAAGAGTGCTACATCCCTCGGAAAGACTTTTTACAATGTTTGACTTTTCAGAGTCAGTTAAATGTCTTTTTTGGCTCATTTTGCCTGAGGAAAAGAAGCTGTCTAATGATTATGCATACCTTGATATAAGTTATTGATTTCTTTAGGCCACACCATCCCTCATTACACAAATACACATCACCTGATATGTTTATATCCACTAAGCATTCAAGTTTATATAGCTTGGAGGTGGAAAATATGCATAAAATGATGATATGGTCAAAATACACACTTGCCTAGTAATTGCACACACAGTGTATTTGCTATATACAACATCACTTGCTAGAGTACAAGTCAATTTTGGCACATTTTGGACTTACTTGCAAACAAAGTCCAGTCTTACCCCATTTTTACTAACATCATACAGTACTATTAAACTATATTTTTGAGTTTGCAAGCACTGTACTATTGCACACATCTTATCAATTTAGAAATATATGAGTGTGTGTCCTCAGGGTGCATAGTAGAGAAGCCATGCTAAATAAAAATAACAGATAAAAATACTTTAGGAAATAATGTATAGATTGTCCAGAAAATGTAGCTTTGGCTTATGAAAGAAGGAATGCTTATTTAAAAAAATGAGACAATGAAAAAAGAAAGCAGCTAGGGATAATCAATGCAAGTAAATACAATCTTTCCAGCAAGTTCAGTTAGATTGCTCATTACAGATCCGGAAAGAGTCTAACAAGTATGGTTTATGTATTGGTGTATTTCTTACTTAATAGTGCTTTTAAAGTTCTATTTTTCTGAAACAAGTCAGTTTCAGATCTGCCATAAGTTATATTGGGGTATTGAAATGCATTGATTTTACTTTGTCTCTGTTTTGAGTCCTGATATAAAACTTGAGTGATAAATGTCAAACTAATTCTTTTCCTGCAAAGATTGTCCTATTTTTCTTTCACAGAATCCAGAGAAGCATTACTACTGGTAACATATATCACATTAAAGGAATAGTCAATAAATCTAAGGCTGTGTTCATTTCATGCATAACCAAAAAATGGCTAAGTGGGGAATACTGTATGCTCTACCAAGCACCTTGCATGCAACCACTGGTTTGCCACACATATGACCATAGTGGTACCAATTACAGATGGAATTTCCAGGTGTCCAAAATGTTTTGTATGAATACCAGATGATATTTCAGACCTAAGGTACTCTACTGTATAGATCCGTGATTTTTTAAAATGCTATATCGAAACATTACCGATTTTTCCCAGCTCTGGAATCCAGATCACTGTCCAGAGATTATCCCTACTATGTTCTCCAACTGCTAAACAGGGAGAAAAATTAGATAATGAAGATTAGTGACCCTTTGAGAGCTGTATGCAACATAATTTCATTTTAATGTATGCCAATTAATGTACATTCAAAGTGACAATAAAGTTATTCTAAGTCTAAGTCTAGTGAATGATGCAATATTTCCTTGGTGCTGACCAAGTTCCCATTTTTCACTTTCAAAGAAATCCCAGGTTAACTTAACAGCAGAAATTTAACTCAAAATGTTAAAGTGAAATTTGAACAATCAAACCAGCTTCCATTATCAAAAGCAGTACAGCATATTGCAGTCAAAACTAATATGAAATACAAGTACTGATAGACAAGAATTTTTTAAAAAGTCATGATTCATTTTGTAAATGTAGAATCTGTTAATACTGTTTCTGCTGAACTTATTCTTTCCTCAGAGTGGGCTCTCTATAAAAACTTCATTTTAACTTTTTTTTAAACAAAAACATTTTCAGTCATTAAAGAACAGCCAGTCATAAAACCAGGAGTTTATAATTTTTTTAAAATGAAAACCTTAATTGTTCCTTCTAAAACTTTAAAAATTATTCAATATTACTGTGGAGTATTATACTGATACTACAGGAGAATGAGGAAATGATGACTGACAGTTCCTTATGATAGTCCTACAATGCCATCTACTTGTTGATATTGCAAATTAGAGATGAGACTGATTCTTGCTTGGATTATACCTTTTAATTTTCAGCAAATCCAGAGCCATAGCCACGTTTGGAAATACATTTTATTAATGATTCTTATATTTGGCTAGTTTACAGCTTTCTGCAAATTAACACTATGCATCTGGGTAATGTTCCTCATTATATTCTGTTAACATCAATTCTACATGGGGTACTTTCTCCCCAACCGTTTATAATTTTCTGAGAGAAATAAAGATGCGCTGGCAGTCTGATACAACAGATAATATTGATTTCCAAATGGCTTTTGAACAATCATCCAATAAAATGCATTAGTCAATTGAACACATACAAACAGGTAACTTTTTGTACCACGTTAAAATTGTACCAAATTCACAGCTCCAATGGCATGAAACATGGACAATAGGTCTACAAACAGCTAAAGCAAGACAATTACAACGTTCAAACACAGCATGCAAAAACAGATATCACCTGCTACCTCCCAACAGGGCTGCCCGTCCTATGGGGCATGGGGAAACATCCTTCCTTCTTTCCCTGAGTACGCTCACAGAAAGCAAAGTCCCAAGCAAAGTCAATTGGGAAGGCGGATTCACTTAAAAACTGTTCCTGACTTAACAACTGAAGCGGTTCACTTAGCGATGTGCGGCAAGGCAGGTTGTATAAAACGAGGCAAACTGCAACTGTCTCACAGAAAGCAACAGAAATTTTGGGGCCAATTGTGGTCATAGGTCAAGGGGCTACCTGGAGCCTGTAATATATATATATTAGATTTTTACAACCCCTGGTAAGCCCCAACTATGGGAGGAAGCTAACTGCTTCCATCATCTGTCAATCAGCTCGTCACAAGAGTATAAAAATCTAATAGATACCTTTCACCCTGGCTTCGCTGATAACGGATAAGAGCCTGTGACCTAATGGCTAAGAAGTCTGCCTAGTATGTAATATAGCTCAGGTTCAAATCCCAGTAAGGGTATGGCTAGCTGATGAGAGCTAAATAGCTTGAAATAGATCTATACTAGTCCCCCTTTATTTATTTATCAGCACAAATAAAAAAAACATATGTATGTATGTATGTATGTATGTATGTATGTATGTAT